AGCCAGGCTGGGAAAGGTCAGCTTGCTATGCATTTTTATTAGGTTACGACGTTATTTTTGGATTCATTTGCGCATGGACTGTTAACTAATTTAATGAACATTTTGGAATCAGAAAATTGTCATGATTAACTGAGCTATGTATTTTTTAAAAATATATTTTTATTGATTTCAGAGAGGAAGGGAGAGGGAGAGATAGAAACATCCATGATGAGAGAGAATCATCGATCGGCTGCCTCCCGCACGCCCCACACTGGAGATGGAGCCCGCAACCCGGGCCTGTGCCCTGAGCAGGTATCGAACCGTGACCTCCTGGTTCATAGGTCGATGCTCAACCACTGACTGGTACCCCAGGCCCGAGCTAATATTAATTGATGGATTTTCTTGAACACACACGCACCAGAGTAACTATTTCAAATTTATACAAGGTAAGTCTGGTGTGAAGTCATATACACTTAATATTCAAGTAATTTTAATACATTATTATTAGGGTTAGGTTTATGGAGCTGCTCAGGGATCATTGTCAGGAGGGTCTGGCTTTGCTTTAACTGCAGTTTTTTCTGAAATGCCAGGTCGTGTGCGTGGTGAGTAACTTCAGGGGAAGACACCCCGAGAGCGAGCACGCCCACACGGCGGACCTGGCGCACGCGCCGATGATCAGCATCCCGCGGGTGGAGAGTCCGCTGGAAAAGGTAAGTCTGTTCCCATGATGCAAAGTTTAAATTCAGAGATGTGATCCTTACCTGGAGCGAATGAGCGACTAGTCCCCAGCGTCACCGCGGTCGCTTCTGTTTACTGAAAGGGGCTCCCAGCGCCTCAGTGGCATTGAGCCAAGATTCAGTCCCTGGCGACGCCCTGTTGGGGGAGGGAGGTCCCACCTCAAATGTCCCGGACCTGGACCGGTGCCACCAGCTGAGAAGCGCGGGAGGGCTTGGGCTGTGCCAGAGCTCCTGGGGGGCCCGGGGTGGGGGAGAGGGGGACGCTAGGCGCCGGGCCTCTGAGAAGGCACGTGATGGGATGGCTGTGCCGGAGCTCCTGGAGGGGGGACGCTGGGGGGTGGGCCTCTGAGAAGGCACCTGATGGGATGGCTGTGCTGGGGAAGGTGTGCTCTTCTCCTAAAACATGGTCCGCTCTCCCACGCTCCACGGGCAGGCAGCCCTTGAACCAGGCGGGTTCAACCTCCACTCGTGTGCCGGTTTTCTCAGTAAATGCAGGGAATGTGTTTTCTCTTCCTAGGGTTTTCTTAGTAGCACTTCCTCTTCCCCAGCTCACTGTGGTAAGAGGACAGTGTGTGCTCACAACATAGAAAACATGTCCGTCGGCCCTTAGGTGGTCGGCAAGGCCGCGGGCCGCAGCAGGCGGGCGGGCGGTGCGTTTCGGGGCAGCCACGGCAGGGTCACCTGAACGCCGTGGAAAAGGACCAGCTGTGAGGCAGGGGCACTGAGAAAACTACCCCACTGCCCCCCAAGAATCACGCTGCCCTTTCACCCTCTGCCCTTCCGCCCACTGCGTTTTCCTGTCTTCCCTTCAGAGGGTGCTCTTGCCCAGAACTAATGGCAAGGGGTACCTGACATTCGCCCAGGACCCTCGGGGGTCAGGCTGCGGTCACGGCAGCAGCAAGCGCTGGGCACGCGTGGCCTTTCTCTCCTGCCCCCACTCGTCCTCCCTTTAAGGTGACGTTCAGTTCTGCACGGGCGAGCAGGCATGTGCCTCATGGATTTCAGCGGATTCCGTACAGAAAATCTACGGGGAGGGACATTCTCCCGTCCCAAAACTATTTAAAAATAAATATAAGCCATGGATGGGATTTGATAGAACATGAAATAGTTCCAATTGATGAAGAGAATTAATATTTACAGAGTTTTATTGGGCAATTAGAACAGGCCACTGTGGCCACGCCTGGCTACTTTGGGATAGCGCTGAGCGGTAAATCAGTGGTATAGGAAAGACCACTTTTTGAGAAAACATTTTTTTTCTTGGGTTTAGGTGATCAAACTGAAACAAAGGGAAGTCCCCCTTGCCAATGACAAGATAGGGGAGCTAATGCTAGGAATAATTTGCAAATTGCAGCCTTGTAGTTCTGGTCAGGGGCTCTGTGCCAACCTGACTACCCAAGATGCTGTGCGTGTAAAGCACCCCGTGACTGAGAGCGGCGCCACATGAATGCAGGTGGTGAGCAGTGAGGACGGCCCCCCAAAGCTGCAGATGCCACGAGTGCATGCAGTCACGGGTGGAAATGACCATGTTTCGTTCCCATGGCCACCGTGGAGGGAAATGACAGGGCTAGGAACATTCTAAGGGGACTCGCACTGACCCAGAGAAGCAAACGCATGGACTATTTTGAAGGTTAGAACATCACAGGGGTCAAGGTGAAACCTGAGCTGAAGGTTCGGCAGAGTGAGGGGGTGGGGCGTGGAGAGCCAGGCTTTTGTAGGTGCCCGCAGCTCTGGGTAGGAAGGTTGGCTTGGCTACATAATGACTAAGTAGAATCAGACGAATTCCTTCTTTTCTCCTTACCTGAAAAAAATGGATATGATTATGGTTCCTTTATCGGGTAAGTAGAGGCCTGGTGCACAAAATTCATGCATGGGTAGGGTCCCTAGGCCTGACCAGCGATCAGGGCCGATTGGGGCCTTCCAGCTGCCGGTCAGGGCCTTCCTTCATTCCGCGCCACCCCCTGGTGGTCAGCGACATCATAGCGAGCGATTGAACTCCCGGTCTCCCGGTCAAACTCCTGAGGGGACACTTTGCACATTAGCCTTTTATATATATAGATTGTTTGAAATGACAGATCACAAATAAACTATTGGCACACAGTTGGTGCTTAAATCAAGGTAGCTCCCTCCTGTAAAACGAATGATTCCTTTAATAGGATTTTCATTGTATTTTGGACTAGGATACCCCATCGAGCTATTTCATGTACTTGGGGGTTTATGCAGATTGTCTATGCCATACATAGAGCATATGGCAGGAAATCTTATAGCAAAAATTGCCGCCTAGATTAGTGTCAGAGCAACAGCAAAACAACCCTGTGGTTTCTTGCCAAGACAGACATGATTACCCATGACTTTGCTCTCTGGGATAAGTCCCTTTGAGGTTTCAGCATGTTGGCACAAACATGTGTGGGAAGCCACTTAAGATGTGTTTGCTTTTCTAGGATGCGAATCTTTGTTTTACGGAGCTGCCGACTATACGTAAATGTTCCATAGGAGCTTGTCAAAACAACTTTATTAGGGATCAGATGTTGGAATAGTTAGTGGAGCTAAGTCTCCTCGTATTTTCGGCAGCTTTCCTCAGCCTGAGCCCCGAGCACTTACGAAAGGTGTTCACAGTCCATCAATGCTCGCGCGCTGGGCTTGGCTCTCGCTTGTCTTGTTTCATTTCGCTTTAAAGAGTCCATTGAAAAGGGAGTGAAACATCCCAACGGGCGTCGGCACTCTGGTTAGGAGGACGCGCCCCTGGCTGTGGTCTGCCGTGTCGTTTTCCTTGTGTGTGCTCGCCCCGGTCAGTGTTTATTTCTCCGCCCTGTCTATACATCACAATACGCTCTGCAAAACATGAGAAGCCAGGTTTTCTCCAACGTTATCTAACGGGCCTTTATGAAAGCGTCTTTTCAGTACGTTACCTTTGAGCACAAACCATGTTTCTCATCTCCTTGGAGGGAGTAAATACCGGGTTGCTGGCTGCACCTTCGGGTTCTCGGGCCCCTGCAGCCATCGGTCAGGGAGGCGACCAAAGGGTGCGGGAGGAAGTCGCTGACAGTGCACACCCGCCAGGGACACCTGGAGGCTCCCCCGCCCTCCTCACTCCCTCTGCTCCGGGCGGACGGTCCCAGGGACACTTCCCCGTCGGTCCAACTGCCACGGCGCCCTGAACGGTTCTGACCCAGTGGGCCTGGGGGTCCGGTTGGCACCAGGCAGCACCGGTGATTTGGGTCCAGAGCCAGCTGCTGCCAGGGCCCAGGGCCTGCAGAGCGGAGACAGTGGGTGTGAACATTGGCTGCGCGTTACAGCCGCCTGGGGAGTCTTTGCGAATCCCAAGGCCTAACCCGGCCGCCTTCACACCAATTAAGTCCACGTCCCAGGAGAAGCGTGGTGTCTTGGTAAAGCTCCCGGTGGGTCCGCGAGCAGCCAGGTTGGGGGCCCAAGGCTCCTTTCCCCAGGGAACGGGGAGCCGAGGTCAAGGCCCAGCGCTAACTCATTCATTTAATGACAGGACCGCGACTCCTCATCCCAAACCCTGGGGCCAGGCGCTCCTCAGGACTCAGACGCTCTATAGTTCGGGGCGAATGCTGTGCGTTCTGTGAGGAGCAGGACGGGAAGCAGCGCTGGGCATTGGAGCAGACAGACAGGCAGACAGGCCCCATGGCCTTCCATCCACCCAGCTCCGTTCTGCCCCCAGATGGGTTTGTAGCAACCGTATAAGACACACTTGGGGGTGAAAGTGTGTCCACTAGATCTGTAAACTTGCAGAATTGTAACATTCCAACCAATTAATTTTTTTAAATCTCCATGGTTTTATCTATTTGTTATCTAATATTTTGTTTCTTTGGCTATATACACATATATATTCAATTTCAGAGAGGAAGAGAGAGATAGAAACATCAATGATGAGAGAGCATCATGGATCGGCTGCCTCCTGCACGCCCCACACTGGGGAGTCAAGCCCACAACCCGGGCCTGTGCCAGGATGGGGAATTGAACCAGGACCTCCTGGTTCCTAGATCAATGCTCAACCACTGAGCCCCAGTGGTCAGGCTGTTTCTGTGGCTTTGACTGACGACTATAATGAGATGTTTGCGAAGACCAGGACCTTTGTGTGTGTGTGTGTGTGTGTGTGTGTGTGTGTGTATAATCTCATTTGCTCTTAATTTTAAAAATCCATGTAAATAGTCTTCTTCCCATTGCCCGGATGTGAGAGCCGGGTCTGTGAGGGGCTGTGTTGCTTGTGAACACTCTGTGGTTAGGGGCCCACATGCAAACACGCTGAAGCCCACCTGCCACCCAGCTGAGGACTGAGTCCTTGAATGGAAGACATTGACACACAGATCCTGGCTTCTGTTTAGGCCCCAAACCTACGCCGACGGGCTGACAGCCTCCCGTTCCAACGCAAAGGCTGCTTCTGGGCCTGTGGAAGGGAAGGAACCTGGGCCCGTATCTAACCTCAGCCTTGGGCCTAACACGGGAGCAGCCGGGAGCGGCAGACTTGGCCTCTGTCCGGCTGAGTGAGCCGACACCGACGGGCACCGAAGTAACGGCTGTGGTACCTTTCCTAGGTGTCCCGAGGCCAACCTGCCGAGGGCGGCGAAGAGCACGCGCAGGGGCGGCCCCTGAAGGACTGTCTCGCTCGGCTCTTCGGCTGGGTGCTGGGGATGAGCCGCCGCGAACACCTCCGATTAAGGCAATAAACGTAGGTGCGCCGAGCGCACTGGTGTTGGAGCTGAGCTGCGAAGCTCCGGCAAATACAGAAAACGCGTCCCTCTGGGCAGGGCCACGGCTCCCAAGAGATCTGGGTCCTTGGTCACTGTTCTCGTTTATCTTCCAAATAGGCTTCATTTTCCACTGCGTTTGCACGCACGACCGGAGCTTAGCATCCCTCCACCCAGCAGCCCTTGCTAGAATGGCTCTTCTTGTTTTGTGTGGGAGCCACGCTGGCCGGGCTAGAATGGCCTTTACTTGTTTTCCTACATAAATTGCTGTGGGTTTTCCCCCCGCATTTCCCCCTATTTTTCCAAATAAATAAACTGCCAGTGGCTTGCCTTGTCTGGTGGCAAGTCACCCCCAACGTTGTGTGTTATAAGTAAATGGCAGTGTTGTCTGAAATCACCAAAGAGTGAAATACAGATTATTTTTTTAAATAAAATTTTAATGGATTCAAAGAGGGAGGGAGAAAGAAAAAAAAACATTAGTGATTAGAGAGAATCATTGAAAGGGTGCCTCCTGCACCCCCCCTACTGGGTATCCAGCCAGCAACCCCGGCCTATGCCCCGACCGGAATCAAACCCGGGACCCTTTGGGCCGCAGGCCGAAGCTCTTATCCACTGAGCTAAACCGGCTAGGGCTATTGATTGATTTTGAGTGAGAGAGAGAGAGAGAGAGAGAGAGAGAGAGATCAATTTGTTGTTCCACTTACTTATGCATTCATCAGTTGCTTCTTGTACGTGCCCTCATCAGGGATTGAACCCGCAACCTTGGCGTACTGGGACGACACTCTAACCAACTGAGCTACCCGTTCCAGGGCACTTAGCCTTTTCTTAAGCAATGACATGGTACATCCATGGTACCAAGGGTGTGACAGCCAAGTCACATGTTTACTAGTGCAAGCTAAATTTCCATAACGGAAAGTCAAAGTGTCCCTTATGCATCATCACTGAAAAACCATCTCGTGTAGCACCTGTGGCCTGAGCACCACACCTTGGAAAGCACACGCCTCGTGCTTGTTAGTCTTATGGCTGTTCACATCTTTCAGGGAAGCTCCATGCACATCTGGAAAAAGCCAATTTTCTCCTGTCTGATAGAGCCTTATGTGTGGCAGTGGCTGTGGGTATGCCTCACTACAGAGCAAGGTCACTATTGTGTGGCTTCCTCTTCTGGGGGCCATGGCCAAGAACCAAACTGATTTGCTGGCATCTGCCCAGATGGCGTGCTCCCAGTGTACAGAGCTGGAGGGCACTCACACAAACCTGGCGAGGGTCTGGAGAGCAGGTCCCAGCCCCGTTACGCCCTCTCATGGCCTTCTACCACACACCAGCTCACAGGGCCACAGGCCAGGCTGGGGAGTAGATGTGCGTGCCAAGTGAGAGGGGGCCCACAGTGCTGAGACCTGGCCACTAACAGTCAGTGAGGAAGGTGCTCAGGTTTCACTGGCAATGACAGTAAAACTGAAAGGGCATGCCTTTGAATGCTGGGGGTGGCTTCTCTGTGCCCTGCTGGGGACCTCTCCCTATGAGTAAGTTGTTGCTGCCACTGCCACCACAGCTGGTGGAAGGCACAAGCCACAGAACACTGGCAGGCATGAGAAATTCGGCTGAGGACCAGTCTGCTGGGACTACTGCTCTCATTCAGGGAAAGTGCCACTGCTGCTGGGCACCTTCCC